AAGGAAGACCCAAATATCTTGCGCAATGGGACAGTTTTGCGCACCACAAATCAAAATCTCCCTAATTTTGGAATTTAATATATCTTACAAGAGGTTCTCTTCAACATCCTATTTCTTCTAGTAAACTCCTCTAAACATTCAAGTGAAATAAATTATAGATAAATAAATAGATAGATGAAATCAAAAATTTAATCTCTCATTATTATTCCTAATCCCCCAGGTAGAAAAAGAACATAGTTGGAGCTGAAACAAGTTCAACGGATAAACCATTATCTATTGTGAGAAGGCCATCAAATGAACACCATATATCAAAATACACGGTTAAGCATAGATGACAAGTGCAAGAAATGGATTCTTTGTAGGCAATGCAAGATTCAATTGAATTGAAGGCTCCATATATAGGAATGAAAAGTTTAGGGTTTTCCCAATTAAGCTATTTTCATAAAGTATTACTCAAGACATTGAGAGAAATTAAGTAACAGTAAGAATATACCCTTTCTTATTGAATATTTGTGATTGATTTGATTAACCACTGCCAATCTAAATTGAGCATATCTACTCCAACCATATGGCAGTGAGGAAGAATCTGCAACATCTAAATACATTGACAAGTGATCGACATTGTTTCCCTTTGGAAAAATTAGTATACGCCTGCACAGAAGAATCAATGGCACATCCAAATATCAATCACATGACAATCTGCAGCAGGACCAGACGAAATCAAATATAGTGATAATAACCAAACATCAAAAAGGAACCCGTTACCATTTATAACCACCAACAATAAATATATCTGAATAGTGCTTCTTGGTGTTGAGCCTAGAAAAATTGTCAATTGTCCAAGTGAATTTCATTGATGGGGGCTCCTCCTCTTGCTGTTTCTCAACTGTACTAGTTGGATCGACTTGACCAACTAAATTAATCAAATTTAACAAATGAACAAAAATGTCAAAACCCTAACAACCAAAATAATAAAATTATTATAACAGATTAAACCACATCATAATTGCACCGGGGGAGGGGACAACCTGATGTTATCAAATAATTAATATAAATTGGAGCATATTTAAAACTCTACGAAAAAGATAAACCTTCCATTGGCTGAGGTCCTTCAACTATATCCGAAGGCGGCACGAGCAACTCTTCATCTTGTTGCTGTTTCAAAATCCAAACTTCAAAACAATCAAAGATCTGATAAACCAAAATCTACCCTAAACTCCGCCATACAAAACCTAATTGGCGTACACTAAATGTATTAAGAAAAGCAAACCCAAATCCACGAAGTTCACGTCTAATGAATCACTTCTTAATTTAGAAACAAATAAAGTCTCAAAAAAAGAGGATTAACTAAGCAACTCCATAAGTAAAAGAAATAAAGAAAATGTAAAGCATCCATTGAGAGCAAAGAGATGCAAGAGAGGTGCGTACATCTAACGGCGGAGTAGTCATCATAGTCATGAGGTTAAGATGGAATTGAACCGTCCGATCAGAAATCGGATAAAAAAAGGAAATGAAAAAGAGAATCAGAGAGGAAAACAATGAATAAAAATAATATGAAGGGGAAGGAGAAGAAGCGCGTAGTGCAAAGCGAAGCGAGTTCGATCCTAAGAGCAATGCGAGTTTGAGAGTCCAAAATATCTGAAAAACATAAATTTCTCTTTTCTCCACTTATAAGTGTATAACAAAAACATAAATTAATAATTAGTAGGGTAAACTAAATAAGTTGTCACTCATGTTTAAGTAAATTTCTCTTTTCTCCACTTATATTTCAAAACTAACGATTTGATCATTAACATTATCGATTTATAATAAACTAGTCATTTGACGTTAATCGCTGATATGGTAGATAATGGAGTGATAATGTGGAACGTTAATTGACTGACATGAAAATTGTGCTGGCACACGAGACGGCCATTTGATTCCCCTATATTGAGTCGAATGACTTGTTCTCTATAAACACGATCACTCCACTTTCGACTCGAACGGTAAAACTTTTCTTGGCGAATACATTCTTTTTCTTATAGAAAAAACTGATTTCATTAAATTCAGTTTGAATTTCGTTCTTTTATAAGTCTTTTTTAGATAATCTCTCAATAATAAAGTAATTTTTTCGTCGGAGATTAACGTCACGTAATAATCGAAAATCAGTTTAAGTCCACTTGCGAATTTATTCGAGTGGATATCCCAATAAACATCAACCGATTTGCCTTCTACTTCAAACGATTATCCCTTTCTCGATCCAAAAATGTAATGATTTGAGCTTCTTCTTATAATTGAGGGTTCAACTTCAAACACCAATTGGTGAAATAAACGAGGGTAAATGGATAATTTTGTCCAAAATGTTTTCATGAAAAATGTTGTACAAAGTGCGGTTTAAAATTTAACCGTTTGAGATTTCTATTAAAAAGTGAGTTCGAAAAGATTAAATGATATTATGTTGTAAATTAAAAATATAGCATTTAAATTATATTTATACATATATATAAATCATATCAATTTAAACTCTAATAAATTCAAAAAAATATTATTATATATGAATTATATCAATTTAAATTATAATAAAAATATAAAAAGTACAAATAAAAAAATATAATTATAACAAAAATATATTTTATATCAATTCATGATTCCTATCAAAGGTAGGGTTTTGGTGGAAGGATAATGCAATTGTCGAAGAGGAATTTATTGAAGGAGAGCTTGAAACGACATCGGATTTGAGATTGGCGAAGAGCATTTTGTCTAAGAGGATGGGATTAAGAATGAATAATCAATTAATCAATTATTGAATGATATTAAAAGCACGACCGGCTTTCTTTTATCGGGTGATGTTTTCTTTCCATCCAGATTCCAAATCTCTGTCTTGGTTAATTCGGATCGATCCACGTCGCACGTTTGACTTTCGTATGTGAGTTTCCCAACAGAGATTATCTACACACATAAAGACTTGAACTCGAGATATTGCTTAAATAATATTAAGTTGCTTATCACTTAAATCGACCTCTGTTGATATTGGCTGATGTTTTACAACCCTCGATCAGAAAATAAAACATTTTTAATGAAATCTCTATGTTCTAAAATGACGGTTTAGTTTAATTTGAGCAACTAACTACAATAATTTGAATACGCAGAGATCGCACAAGCATACGCCTATAAGCACATGCACACATAGTAGTCAGCTCCATTATATGCCTCTTGCCAACCATATAAACTTGGCCAAATCTGATGCCAGATTTTTTCTAAGTTAAGAGTATTTTTTTCTCATATAAAGACAACTAAAAATTCAAAACTAAAATAGCGAGTGTCTAACAATAATTCTTGTGCATGTGTGAGATCTTGATATTGAAACCAACAACCCTAAGTGGGATGAACATGCAAATTTCTCTTTTGAAGAGGCATTCAACCATAATCAATGACCAAGACAACACATAAACCTGTCAAGCTTAATAATACGAAGTGATTGCCTACCTAGTATAAGGATATCAGCTTGCCTGTTAGCCTGATAATACAAGTTTAACACTGAGTTGAAAAGCATATCGTTTTATGTCAAATAGGATTAATGAGATCCTAAACCGACTAAAATCTGATTGAAGATAAGCAATTCAAAAGGCATAGTAAAGAAAAATCCATTGTTGTTACCCGCCAGTTCATCAAAATACTTGCAAGCCATGATGAGGATTCAATGGCAGCGTAAAAGAATGGTCCAGGAATTAGGAAGCATCAACTATTATATTGAACCTTACAGATGAAACTTTAGCACCAAGCTTCTGAAGATGCAAGAGACAAGTGTTTAACATTCATCTGCATCATAGACATAGTTGATCATGCAATGCATGTAAATGCAACAAGATGCTCAGTGTGCAGGAACAAGCTACTTCTAATGCATTTGCCTCTAGCACATAGTGGGCAGAAAAGTCGACATGATTTTCATTTTTTCTTTAATTTAAAAATAAAGGTAGAATGAAAAATAATGAAACTAGTCCAGAAAATTTGTTCCATGGTGGCTATTAAGAAACTAACCTCCTAGACTGAACTCCACTCAGACTTGTCTCTATAACAATCATAGAAAATAAGATTCCAGAGAAGCCTATTGCACACTAATTCACGAGAGGGTCACAAGGATGGAAAGGATTATGGGCTACCGCCAAAGCGATAATGAGATGAAATCCCATGTTTTGTTTCTGCATCGGAGCAAAGGGCCTAAAACAATAGCAGCAACCTCAAGTGAAATAAGTAGAACTGAACGCAGATTAACCGTATTCAATGGAAGATGAAGAAGTTTCCGAGAGTCGTTAAACTTTCGGATTTTGTTTTCCGTTTCTGGCATTTTCTTAGCAACCGGAAAGAAGAATGTAAGAAATGTGGATCGGATCTTACCTCTGAAACAATGTTAGGTCTCATTGTTGTTTTTGGCGTAAAAAAAAGTTAAAATTTCTTCATATCATATGAGAGAGTGATGATTTTATCTGACGACGTTTATGTGCCCGGATATGTCCTTTTTTCCTTGTTTTTATCAGATGGTGTCACCGACTTTTTTATTCACTTATCTTTCGTATATGTACAATGTTCCCCATCAATTTTAATTATCATTTTACTACGTTGGCGTAACAATAAAATTTAAAAAATAATCATTTTGACCCTTTTTATTTTTTCAATACTTCAACCCCGATGTTGCATTTCGAGCAAAATGATGTCATGACATGTCCACATGAGATGTTACGTCAACAAAAAATATTCCTGATGGTGGATTGTTTGTATACATCTTCAATCTCAGGCTCATCATGATCTTGTTTCTGCATGAACACTCTGGATGATGAATTTGAGAGGAAGCCAATGATAAGATCTGAGAAAACCCAAATGCTAAGATTGAAGGATTGTTTTTCTACAATAAGTTATCCTGATTTTTCATCTTAGTTATAAACTGCGTAGCCTATTCCTAGCAATCAGAAACCACAAAAGAAATTGCATGATAGTTTTTACCACAAGATAAGTTATCCAGATTTTTCATGCATGAAAACATGCCTACCACAAAATCAATAAGCAAAATTCAATAACATCTACCGAACTTGTCGATTACTCGAATAAAAAGCAACACATTCATAGCTTGTCCCGGATACAAAACAACTTGTAATGAACTCATTCAGAAAACAAAGCAGGTGTGTACCATTCTTCAAATACCTCAACGGTTGGCCTTGGCAACTCTTTCGATTTCGTCCTTTTTCTTGATGGCATAGCTGCAAGAACAAGACTATTGTCAATATCAACTGAAATGTTGAAAGCCAAAATCCGAAAGGATTGTACCCAGCTTACCTGTTAGATGATCCCTTGGCAGCATTAATTAGCTCATCAGCCAAACATTCAGCAATGGTTTTGATGTTTCTGAATGCAGACTCACGTGCGCCAGTGGTCAGGAGATAGATGGCCTGATTCACCCGGCGAAGAGGAGAAATATCAACAGCCTGACGTCTAACAACACCGGCGGAACCAATTCGAGTAGCATCTTCACGAGGTCCACTGTCACATCAATCAAAAGCAACAAACAGTATTAAAATTTAAACTAACAATAGAGAAAACACCAACCTTTATATTATATAGTTTACCTATTGATAATAGCATCAACAATTACTTGAATTGGGTTCTGGTCAGTCAGGAGATATATGATTTCCATGGCATGCTTTATAATCCTGGTTGCCATAAGTTTCTTGCCGTTGTTTCGACCATGCATCATGAGTGAGTTTGTAAGCCTTTCAACAATCGGGCACTGAGCCTTCCTGAATCGCTTAACTGCGTACCTCCCAGCAGTGTGAGGCACGTAGGTGGCATGCTTGGAAGCTTGGACACCAATGTAATCACTCAAGGAGATATCAGCAACCTGAATCAGATAAATCATTTGTGTCAATGATCAATGCCACCAAGTATCGTAACCATCAAAGGGGGCACTAAAACCAGAGGATAATTCTTCACAAACAAGAGTCTTAAAGACATATGGAAAGACAATCTAAAACAATTGTTCATATTCGATTCGACACAGATAGAGAGAAGTAAAAAACATATTATCAATAGAAAATACAAAGAAAATATCTAAAATATATGCTAAATTGACATTTTCAAGGGCGTTCCATCCCTGATCTGACAAATATTTTACGTGAAGAGAAATTTATATGAAAACCAAAAACATCGTTTATGAGCTACCATTTACCATTAAATTCACCACAAAACTACAACCGTATCAAGACACAGAATGCCGGTAAAAATGAAATCAATATCCCATCTGTTGATATAATGGTGGATATTGGTTGACAAGTAAATACAAAAAATTATAACCCATCCATAAAACCAAATCCCGAAGTTCTAACATTGAAACTACACCAGAAACGCACAAATCAGCATCTACTTCACATGAATAAATATTCGAAATGCAATAAGATTCCTTCGTTACAACTATCTAGTTCACTTATCCAGTATACTTGAGAACACTAGAAATATCTTTGCAGTTCAACTTATATATCATTTAATGGAGAGCAAAAACAATAGCCCAAAAGACGTGAAGATTAAAATAATACATTTCACTCAAAAACTATGAAACAAAAAAAGAAAGAAAATGCAGATCCGCAGTAACAAATAGAAGGGGGGAAAGAGGGAAAAGAAGAAGTAAAACCTGAACTTCCTCGAAGCTCCAGCGGTTGAAGAGCTTGACTTCCAAGTGAGGTTGGGATGGGTCTTGCGGCCCGGTGGTGGCGGGAGCTGCCACTGCTGTCGCCATGCCTGATGTAATAGATAGAGAGAAAAGAGGGAGAGAGCGGCAGACAAAGAGATGGTGGGTAAAGGGGATGAGAAGACCCTAGCCTTAGGATTTTATAGTCATTCTGTGACTAGGGTTTTGCCTATTTTTGGTCTAACAATTAAACTAATAATAAAACGATCATTAGCGTATTATACCAGATTAATTAATCAATAGATTAGTGATTTATTTTTTACTATAAATATTATTTTGTGACTAATGTTTTGCGTATTTTCGGATTAAAAATATTTGAGAGGATCACCATTGTCTTTGTAATATTAAATATGAATTAATCGATCAATAGATCGAATACCGACGATTATACAAAATAAAAACACATGTCTAACCCGTAGTGTGTAGAACTCAACTTAATTAAAAATATATATATCTTCTTAAAATGACCCAAAATTAAAATATTTAATTCCATTTAACTCAACTCATGATTTTATAAATTTGTGATTTTTTAATTTTTAGTGTATTAATTTTTAAATTTGAGTTGAGTATATATATATATATGAAGAAATATATAATATATATTGTATATAAATACAAAAAGTTGTTTAAATTATAATTAATTAGATTCATAACATTATAAATATTTATAATTAAATTTAAGTAAAAACTCAAGAAAATCAATTATTTTATTTTATAAACTCAACTCAACTTAAAAAAATAAAATTTAAATTATAAAAAACAATTTATCAACTCAACTAACTCAAAGAATACTCATTCGGATATCCAAACCACCTCATTTATTTTCTTTAGAAGCCATTTACAGCCACCAACGCCAATTTCACATAATTTCATGCTTTTTTAGGTTTAATTAATTTTTTTTTTGGGATAAGTAATTTAAATTCCATTCAAGAAAGCAGCCTAGTTGCAACAACCAACAAAGTAACCTCAAGACAGGCCCTAGTTCAAGTATAAATGCATGTTAACATCATCAATCCTAGGATAACCAAATCTACACAACTTGACTCTAACAGCCTCTTTTATGCAATTTACAACTACATCAACCGAGTGAGTCGAGCCTCGAAAGAGTCTATGATTATGCTCTTCCCAGATAGAATACAGCAGACCAGTCCAAGCAAGCTTCATGATACGAACTCTAAGGGATATGCCCTTCAAATTTGCAATCAGCCAGTTGAAAACATCATCCCAACTGTTCAGGTCATAACGAACATCACAAGAAATTAGAACAATACCCCACACTTCCTTTGCAAAAGGGCATTTAGCAAAAAGGTGATCTCGAGATTCAATGCCAGAGCCACACAAACCACACACGTTATCAATAACCAAACCAAACCGGACAAGCCTATCTTTAGTAGGCAATCTATCAAAAATGACCATCCATGAGATAAGAGATAATTTAGGGATGTGAGAAGGGAACCAGATCAGTCTGTGCCAGATTACCTTCGCCATGCAATCCCGGATATTGTCCCGGATCCATTTACCTTTAATAAGACTCCAGTTGGTACAAGGGAGGAATAAACGTCTAGCCTCCTCACGCATACTCAGAAGCTTGCTCAGGATCCAACTGAAGTGAGCTTTACACTCAACATCCCAAAAGCTAACTGTCTTAAGACGGTATTCATTGTCCACAGAGAGCCTTCATTAGCCAAAATGTTTTTTATAAGGAGCAAACAACAAGCTTTATTCCACACCACAAGGCTTCGAAGACCTAAACCACCCTCAGACTTCAAGGAGCAGATCTAGCTCCATCCCACACGAGTTCCTTTTGTTGATGAATCACTGCCTTTCTAGAAAAAACGCATACAAAGGCGTTCAATATCCCTAATAATTCCCTTGGGCAGAACCAACTACCTACTCCAATAGTTAAAAATGCTGAATAGAACATATTTAATCAATTGGAGCCTACCACCATAACTCAGGTTCTTGTTAGGTTTAATTAATATTTATATTGGTATAAGTATTTAAATTTGATATTTTTAAAAGAAAAAGAGTACTTACACTAAAAACTAATATGTACACAAATTGTAATTTAGATATCCTTTTAAATTCAATTTAAATTATAAACATTAATAAAAATTTAGTATTATATATTGTAAATTTTAATTTAATTAATTTAATTTAATATATTTTAAAATCAGTTTTAAAAAATATTTTGGGTAAACTACCAACGTGGTCACCTATGTTTCATATTTATACACTTTTGATCACCAAGTTCAAAACAATTATGTTTCCGTCACTTATATTATCATTTTATTAAATTTTGGTCATTTAGATGGTGAATGTTAATAAAATTTGGTCATTTAGATGGTGAATGTTAATAAAATTTGGTCATTTAGATGGTGAATGTCATTAGTTTGATAATGTGACACGTTAATAAAATGATTTAATTCTTATTTTAACCCTTGAATTATAAACCCAAAATAATCTAAGGACAATTTTTTTTATTTTTTTGTGTGTGAAAACGATATGATTAAAGAAGATCATACACAGGAAGAATTGTGGATGTCTCGTTAAAAACCTCTCTAATCCTAATTGGAGGAAAAGAGTACACCCGAATCCTTAAATCTAAGCACAAAATTTTAATTTATCTTTATTTAATATGCTTTTCATCTTCTTCGCTGGAATACTACCTTCCCCTGGCACCGGCTTCTAGCTGTTCATCTTTTCCATCTTGTATCGGCTTCTAGTTGTTCATCTTTTCCATCTTGTATCGGCTTCTAGTTGTTCATCTTCTCCATCGTTGGTAACCTTTATCCAACTTTAAAACACTTTTCATGAACATATTCGTACACGGAAAATCTCATTTCTTCTCCTACCACCTTCGTTCCGGCATGGGGTGGGGGAGGGGGAAGAGTTAAGTTTAGGCAAAGCTATCGAAAAGTAGATGATAAAAAGGATAATTTAAAATTGTCTTTAAACTACTTTGGAATTATAAAAAAAACAAATAATTAATATTTTATTTAAAATCCAGTGGTTAAAATAAAAATTAAATCCATTTATTAGTGTGTCACACCATCAAACTATCAACATTCAACATCTCATGAACCAAAACTTAATAAAACAATAACGTAAATGATCAAAACTTGATTTTTTTTTTAATTTGGTGAGTAACAGTGCATAAATATGAAATATAAGCAACCATTCCATTAGTTTACCCTAACAACTTTTTAAAAATCACTTATAGAAATCGATATTTTATCTTCTCAATGCATTAAAGGCACTATACATGATGGAGCAGACCAACATTTCTATTGCTTACCTCCAGTTGTATTAGATTTCACTTAACCCATCTGAAGCAACATAACAATAGGCCATTTACCACTTTATTTTGGCTGCCTCCGATGGCCTGAACTTTCGAGTCAAGCGATGTGATGAAGATTGGGTGATTCAAAACATTTTACTAATGACTCCAACTACTAGATATTGTACCAAATACAAATTTTTCAGGAAATAGAAAATCCCCTTACCAGTAGCATCAGGAGACATTATGGAAGTAAAAGAGTACCAAGCAATTACTCCCAACCAGGGTTTCAAATCGCGGTCGCGTTTTCGGTTATTTCAGATTTACCGTGATTGCGGCCGTCGCGGGTAACTCGAACAGCGACGAAACCGCTATATCGCGGTCGCGGACCGTTTTTTGAAACCCTGCTCCCAACATTTCTTAAGATAGCAAAAGTTATTGTAGATAAATATCATAACCTCAACCAACTTAGTTCACTTCTAAGCTTTAGAAACAACCGCAGTCTCCACAAAATCAAGTCTTGATTAGAAATTTTGGATACCTTTCAGAAATGACAAAATTAAGAACATAATAGCTAGCTACTTGCAACAAAACAGAGGCATCTGTTCAACGAAGTCTCCTGGCTTCCCTCTCGGACTCGAGCAAGGTGAGAATATCTCCCTCCCTGACCGGTCCCTTAACATTCCTCATAATGAAACGGTTCTGATCATCCAAAAACTTGACTCTCACTTGAGTCACCTGACCTCTGGACCCTGTTCTTCCCATAATTTTCACCACCACAGCAAACTTGATTTGGGAATCCATCTCAGAAAACAATCAAACACTGTTTCAACACCATGGCCCAAAACTTTGAATATAAGATTCATCGAAAGCTAATCTTGTTGCTAACTTGATATGGAGATTAGATCAGATTATTGATAGTAATTGTGAAAACCCGTTTCACCAACTTTGATAGAAAAACAAGAAAAGTAGCAATGGCTCATTAAAATTTCCTAACATCAAGCTTCAACATATAATCATATATTTGATAATCCATTGTACCTCATTTTATAGAATGGAAAGGCTCTAGCAAAACAAAAAATTTCCTATTAAGGATCCATAGACTTCAATTTTAGCAACTTAACAGCTTACTTCAACAGGCATCAAAGCAATCTAGCTCTAGAAAGCAGATTACAAAGGACTATTACTATTCGAATTTAACCAAAAACTTCAAAAGGTACCTTAAAACAAGATTACTAATCGTAAATTTGATAACCCATTTCACCAAGCTGAACAGAAAAACACTTCAGCAAACGCAGGAAGGGTTCATTAGGATCCATACACTTGCATTTTCGAACTTATCAGCACAGTTTAACAGATGATCAAGCAATCTACTCTTGAAAACAACTTAAACAATAACATTACTGATTAAACTTGACCAAAAACAATACTTACATATCTTCAAAATAACAAAAAAAAAGAAGCGAAAACAAATTCAAAATCAGAAAACAAACAGAAGATCTAACGCTAAACATAACTAAACAAAACCACGAGAATTTGAAACAGAACATAAAAACTGACCTAAATTTAGCTTGATAAGTATCAAGGGGAGCGGCTGCTGCTTCTCTTCTGATTTTCAGAGCGAGGGAAAGAGAAAACCCTAAGATTAGTAATTATAGGCAGTATTTTGAAATGACGCTTATGGTCAGCAGATTAAGAGTTGTAAATTGAGGTATTATGGTCATTGTGGTGGTATTCATATTGGGCTTTAGAGGATACGTAGGTGGGTAGAATTGGTCGGGTTAAAAAAATTAAGGGTAAATTACGTGTTTAGTACCTAACGTTTTACTATTGGTACGTTTTAGTATTTGAACTTTCAATTTTTACAAAATCATAGTTTAGTTTTTGTTTCATTTTAGTACCTACCATTAGTTTTTTTTTCATTTTAGTATACATCGTTAAAAACTTAACGGAAGAGCTAATATGAGATTTTTTAATTTTTAAATTATTATGTATATTATTATTTAAATTACCATATGAGCTAATAGAGGTAATTGGTTTAAAATTTCAAAGTATATATTTAACTTATACCAAACTATCATTATAAAATGAAAGAAATTTGTTAGGTCTATGATTCCAACTTAGAACATCTCACAAAATATTCAAACATTTAATCACTAAATAAGATTAAGAGTTAATTTAATAAATACCAAAAATATTGTTTAACATAAAAATATTAAATTAAAATAAATAATTTATCATTTTAATTTAAAATAAAAAAATTAAATAATTATTTAAATATTTTATAAAATCAATATTATTTTATTTTAAAAATTACATGTATTGTATCAAAAGTAGTTTAAAATATATGTATTTAAATATTTAAATTTTAAAAATTTAAAAATATAAACTTCTATTTTATAATTATTTATTAAAATAAATAAATAATTTATATTTAAAATTACTTAAATAGTTTAAGGATGGAATATAAATTTTTTAATTTAATATTATTTATTAACTATTTAATTAAATAAATAAATATAAATGATAATTTTAAATAGTTAATTGATTATTTTCTTATTTCTAAATAATATTTTACTTCAGATATTATTTATTTTAATTTAAATTTTTATAAGTTAAATAATAATTTTGATATGTATTGAATTAATTCTTAATATTATTTAGTGATTAAATGTTTGAATATTTTGTGAGATATTCTATGTTGAAATCGTAGTTCTAACAAATTTCTTTCATTTTATAATGATTGTTTGGTATAAGTTAATTATATACTTTGGGCTTATGACGGTTGAGTGCTTCATTTCCTCCCAGGAGACCCAGGATCGATTCCTGTTGAGTACTCATTTTGGGGTCTGTTTCATGGTTGTTTCTAATAATGTGGTGACATAGTTGAATAAAATCAATTAAATAATAATATAAAAAATAATTAAAAAATTTAAAAATGTCATGTCATAAATTTGTAATGGCGGAGTACTAAAATAAAAATTAATATGATTTTGTAAAAATTAAAAATTTAAATAGTAAAACATACAAATAGTGAAATTTTAGGTATTAAACACGTAACTTACCCAAAAATTAATTCATTAGGTCATTTTTAAAATTAACTTGGAATCTACTGTATTTATTATAGTGATTTAGAACTTATTAACATCGATGGGACGAGTTATAATAAAATATATTTTTTATTAAAATTTATTTTTAGGTATTAAACACGTAATTTATCCAAAAATTAATTCATTAGGTCATTTTTAAAATTAATTTGGAATTTAAATAAAAATATTATTATAGCAAACTCGTCAGGTAGGCGAGTTTGTTCTACACTATACTATTTCCAGTAGATCTCAAAATAAAATCCAAGTCGATCTAATGAATTAATTTTTTTAATCCGCTTGATTTATTGGGCAATTTTACCTGGGTGTGGATGACGTCCACGGTTGCCTAATGGTACGACCTTGATTTGATATCTTTAAGCCGTCGGATTGTCATGCTTTAAAAATCTTAATTTATGTTTTTCTTTCCTATTTTATTTCACAACTTCAAAAAATTTATACTTTGTGCTTCTTTTATCACACAATTTTATTGGTAAAACTTAATTACTTCAATATTTAAAAGTTATTATGGTTCGTTTTCTTTAATACTATGAGATTTACAAAATAATATTTATTCACAAAGTGTTACTTAATTTTGATTCGGGTTCACAAAACGGGTACGATATTGTATTTCGTTAATGTTACTTTGTAGTTTGTTGAGGCTAGAATTATTTAGAACGAATTTTGGGATAATGATTTGTGATGATATTTTATTTTGGTTCGCTGCTAATTTTTTTAAAGGTAAACTACACCACATATCACAAATCTTTAGGTGATATATCGTTTACACCACTGAATTTTAAATTTTACCAATCATAGCATCGAACTTTGTTTTTAGTTTCAATTATATCATTTGACCGTTAAATCATTAACAGTCGAATCAAAATGAAGTCTTTTTAGTGAAGTGTCTACGTTTACAACCATCAGGCATAACTCATGTCAGCAATCGTCAGCCATATTATCGTGACGTTAACAATTTAATGATTAAGTTGTATAATTGAAACAAAAACCAGAGTTTAGTATTATAATTGAAAAAAATTAAAAATTTCGTGATATAAACGGTACAAAACCTAAAATTTAATGGTATCGGATATAGCTTACTCTTTTTTTAATAATTTATCTATATGTTAAATAGTGAAAAATGATAATTTTAATAATTCTTAAACTATTATAAAATTAAAGGACTAAATTTATAATTAAACCAAATTATCTTAAATAGTAAAAACGCAATAATAAAAATAATTGTTCTTTAGATGGTTCTGTGAGATCTCAATTATATTTTTCTCTCTTCCCTCACCTGCACTCTTCCCCGTCTTCCTTTCTTTTTCTTCGTACAGTCTTAATATACATTTAAAAAAAAAGTGCTGTAAAAAATATTATTATTTTTTAATATTTTAATAAAACGTAATCTAAAATATTATTAAAATATTATTTTTTCTATCAAAAATATTAATATTGGATTCTACCATAAATTAATTAGAAAAAATAACATTTTCGGTAAAAATATAATATTTTAGGTAACGTTTTGCATGAAATGTTAAAAAAACAATAACATTTCCGGTAGGACATTTATTTAGTTATATATTAAGGCTGTCGTATAACATAACTGCCCTCTTTTTTTTCCTTTACCAAAATACCAAAATGCATATATGTTAAAACTTTTAGTTTTTGTGTCATTTTAGTATCTCGTTTAAAATTTATTATTAAGTATTAAACAGTTTGAAAGTTTAGGTGCTAAAATTGATAAAAAGTAATAATTTAGGGATTAAACGTGTTAAATTCTTAATGGATATATACTAAAATTAAATAAAAACTAAATGTTATATATGATTTTAAAAAATTAAAAATTTATGTATTAAAATAGATAAAAACTGAGAGTTCATCAGATACTAAATGCGTAGTTTACCCAAAAATTATACTTAACTACGTTAAAGACCAAAAAAGAAAATAAACTACAGTCAAGGACTGAAAAAGAAAATAAGCTAAAAGGGGTTTAAACCGTGAAATCCTGAACCTTTAAAGACCAGAAGTTTAATTCTTAGTTGTCCGAAGTCCAAGCTTTTATTTCTCCCTTTCATCTCTGTTTCAACTCTCAACAATTTTACTATTTTTTTTTTTTTGGAAATCTTGTATGGAGCTCTCACTCTCCCACTGTTCTTCCCTTGGAATTTCAGCTGTAAATCCTCATTACAAGGCCGTATGTTGTCCGCCGAAGGCGATACCCAGTAAGCTCAATGCCAGACGTTTTGATTCGTCTTTGAAATGTTTCAAATATGGGGTCTCAGTTGGGCTCTACAATCGTTCAAGTTGCTCAACATATGTTCCAGCTAGGAATTACAAGCGTAATTCAATCTGGGTATAACTTGTTCCCTCAAACTCTTACTTTAAGTTCTTGTTGTTTTCCTGGTTTCTTGTTGGTTATGCCTGCGAATCTGCGAATGAGAATCCAAAATTTGAATTTTAGTTGAGAATTGAGTTCTGTTTGATAACTTGAACTTATTGGAGTTATCAATTTATCTTCGAGAATAAGCTTGCTGCAGATTATCCAGTTAAGTATAAATCAAAAGCAACATCCAAAATTTGTTAAAATGTATTCTTTGTTTGTTGTTTTCAAACACATCTTTTTTTAAAAAAAATAGAAAGCAAGTATTAAAGCAACATCCAAAATTTGCCTAATTTGATTTGAACTGAAAATTTAGTTTCAAGTCCATTGATGCTGCTAACGACTTTCTTTTACAAGATTTGAAACCCTTTTTCATTGAATAGAGATCTAATAGTGAATGACATGAGCTTGTCAGCTCAAAACAGCTTTTTCATATTTATTGTTGTTAACTATGAGCCGACGAGAATCAACGAGTCTATACGTGCCATTAATGTAATGTGAATGTGGCTTATACCAGGCTTGCAGTCAAGTTGGTGCTGCTGGGTCTGATCCAATGCTTAACAAAGTATCAACTTTCAGAGATGTGTGCTGGAGGTTCTTAAGGCCCCATACAATACGTGGAACGGCTCTAGGATCAGTGTAAGAACTTATGATTGAAGTACTGGTTATATGTGGTGAGTTAATTAAATGTTTCTTGTTTATTTTAAGTGAAGTTTGTTGTCAAATTCATTGGCAGTGCTTTGGTGGGAAGAGCATTGATTGAGAACTCAAATTTGATAAAGTGGTCTCTGCTGCTGAAGGCATTCTCCGGTCTTATAGCTCTAATATGTGGAAATGGTTATATAGTTGGCATCAATCAGATCTACGATATCGGAATTGACAAGTATGTGGCATTTCTTTGTAAAAACAATTTACTTCTCAAGTGAAAATGTAAGTAGTGACTTATTTAACATCCTTGAATTTTAAATTAGAGCTGCCAATACACAAATACGGGTCTTTGTCATCTAACACATATAAATATATATTTATCATTCAACATTTTTCTTTTAATTTTTTTGGCTTTGTTAAAATGTTTTTTGATTGTATATCTGTTTTATAGTTTTCATCTTGGATTGTAGATCATGCAGGAACTGTAAGACTGCGTAGCTTCTTAGACAAAATTTGAGGTTTCAAGATTATGCTTA